AATGAAGCGGAGGTGGATGGGGAGAGGTGTGAGGGAGCAGCGCCCACTCGAGTCCCTCCATCAGTGCTCCCTGTGACATCCCAGCAAAAGCCGGGTAGTTTATTCATGCAAACACACTTCAGTTCAAGTGCCGAGTGCTAATAATTGAGAGTGACTGCCTGGAGTGCAGCTAGGAAGATTCTAGGCAACGTTTGGGCTCAATGGGAGGGAACGCTACAGCTGGTAACTGATGTCCGCATTGGATTTGGGGTGGAAGCGTCATGTGTGCGGTTTATTGGCCATCCCCGTCCAGTGGACCAGGCCCTAAGCAGTAAGTCAGGGGCCTGCCACTGATCCTCTGTGCCTCTTGATACCACACCTGACTCTTGGGCATCAGTGAGTCTCTCTAAAGTAGCAAGACGGGAGAACCAAATGAGGTAATTAAGACAAGTGCCTGAAGGAAAACACAGACAGACACATGCATACCCCAGCACTGCTCACCAAAGGCACGTATTTCTTGTCCAGTGTCACCAACCTGGACCCTTTTGGAAGTTCCTCCGGAGCCCCAGGCCTATTTTTATTCCCGCTGTGCTTGTAGTGGTCCTGGTCCCTGTCCCTTAGAGTCCTCAGTCACCTTCAGATGCAGGTGCCCGAGTGTTTAAGTGTGGCTGAGCAGTCCCCCCCACCTGCCAGGAACCAGCCTCCTCACTAGGTCTCGGGGGCTGGCACAGCTGAGGGTTCAGTGTCCTCTGAGACGCCACATTTCTTGTAGGCTGTAAGACACCTCTGCAGTCCTTCCTGGGAATTGCCGAGCAGCATGGGGGCCCCCAAAATGGGGTGAGTGTGTGCCAGGGGTGCCCTCGTGTGGAAGGGTGTGGATGTGGCTCAGGAGGCAGCCTGGGAGGCGTCCTGCCCCGCACGGCCTGTGTGGAACCACTTCCCACACTGCCCAGGGCCATGTCAGCTGCACGGTGTCTGGGGGGGATGGCTCTGGGGCCCACGATCCCAAATGGTTGGCCTGGCATCAGAGACTGAGAAGGGCTCATGGGCACCCCCTCATGTGGTACAGACCCTGATCACTCAGACTCTGAGCCAAGCCAACCCCACTGCCATCACTGCAGAAGAGTACTTCAACCCCAACTTTGAGCTTGGCAACCGGGACATGGGCCGCCCCATGGAACTCACCACCAAGACACAGAAGTGAGGCCCCCTATAGTGCTGGGGAGGGCTGGGCAGGGTCTCCCCAAGGGACTCGGAGGCCGTGGCTTCTACTATGCCCCTCACCCCTTGGGATCTGGGGGGGCAGGTTCAAGGCCAAGCTGTGGCTGTGTGAGGAGCATCCCCTGTCCCTGTGTGAGCAGGTGGCCCCCATCATTGACCTCATGGCTGTCAGCAATGCGCTTTTCGCCAAGCTCCGGGATTTCATTACCCTACGCCTGCCGCCTGGTTTCCCGGTCAAGATTGGTGAGACCCCAGCCCCATTTCCTCTCAGCCGCTGGGTGTGTGTGGGGGGGCGGGTAGGGCTTAGATGAGGTGTGTGTGTGTGTGTGTGTGTGTGTGTGTGTTGGGGCGGGTGGGGCTTAGATGAGGTAAAGATTAGGGGTGCCTAAGGTGTGAGAAGGTGAGTGATGGCACCGCTGTTTCTTCATCCTCAGAAATCCCAATCTTCCACATCCTTAACGCTCGCATCACCTTCGGGAACCTCAATGGCTGCGATGAGCCGGTGCCGTCGGTGCGAGGCAGCCCCAGCAGCGAGACCCCGTCCCCAGGCAGCGACTCCTCCAGCGTCAGCAGCTCCAGTTCCACCAGTGAGGCCCTCCCCATCTGCGTGTCTGCCCGCACGTCCCTCCCCACCGAGCACCGGCCGGCTCCCTGCGCAGGCGGGAGGCCGGAGGGTGCGTGCGGCCACGCCCTGACCCCCAGCCTGGCGTCCTCAGCCTCGTGCCGCGGCTGCGAGATCTCCCCCGCGTTGTTCGAGGCCCCGCGCGGCTACAGTGTGCTGGGCGGCCAGCGGGAGGCGGCGGCCCGCGACGACGACGACGACCTGCTGCAGTTCGCCATCCAGCAGAGCCTGCTTGAGGCGGGCAGTGAGTATGACCAGGTGCGTCCCCGCCATCGCGCCGCCCCACGGGACTGCGGCCAGCCGTGCCACCCTGGCCAACTGGCCACGTCCCTCCCTCCAGGTCACTATCTGGGAGGCGCTAACCAACAGCAAACCGGGCACTCACCCCATGTCCTACGAGGCTCGCCGACAGGACAGGTCAGTGCCCGCCTGTCCTGACCTAGCACCCCTCCCCCGAATAACACATGCACGGAGTCCCTCAGGACCCTGTCGCAGTGGGTGAGGGCACCAATGGCTGGGCGGCCCCTCGTGGCCCCAGGAAACCGTGGGACCCTCGGTAGGGCCCCTACTGGTTTGCACACGACTTCCACCCCCACCCTTTCCTCCCTCCAAAAGCAGCCTCAAGGCCTTCAGACCCTTACCGGGCAGGATGTTAGGGCTGGGGTTCTCGAAGATGCCCACACGCGCTGGTCCACCGTCAGCTGCGAGGATGGGCTTTGTAGGGGCAGAGAGCTGTCACAACTGGGTGGGAGCCAGGGAGGTGACGCAGGACTCATCGCCTCCAGCGGAGGGTGGCCACGCCTCCTCCGTCCTGGGGCCCCCACGCAGTCTCCCGGCCCCGCTTATGGGCAGGCGCGCCCCGGAACCCTCGACGTATCTTACCCGCCCCCAGGAGCGCCCCGCCCACGCCGCAGCGCCAGCCCGCGCCCCCCGCGGCCCTGGCGTCGGTGCCCAGCCCTCGGCCCAGCCCGCGCCCGGGCGGCCACGTGTTCCGGAGCTACGACGAGCAGCTGCGGCTGGCCATGGAGCTGTCGGCGCAGGAGCAGGAGGAGCGGCGGCGGCGCGCGCGCCAGGAGGAGGAGGAGCTGGAGCGCATCCTGCGGCTCTCGCTGACCGAGCAGTAGCGCCCGCGGCCGGACCCCTGGGCCCCGCCCCGCCCGCCCCGCCCCGGAGCCAGACTCGCTCGGGCCCGCGTGCCCGCCGCGCGCGGCCGGGAGACTGGAGCCGCCGCCTCGGGGCCCTCGGGGCCGGAGAGGAGCCCCTGGCACCAGCCGGGGAGGGGGGCGGCGCGGCCGCGGGGTACCTGTCCCGGCCAGGGCCCCGGAGGCAGCCCGCACGGCCCGGGCCCCCCTGCTTTGCTGTATCCTGACGCCCACCACTATCCTGGGCTCAGACTTGTCCGAGGGGGCCAGGCCGTCCTGAGGGGGAGCCGGGTCCTTAGAGGAGCAGTGTCCCCCATCCCTCGCTCCTTCTGGCCGGTCCTCCTCTTCTGCTCACAGAACCCACTGTAGGACACTGTCCGTGAAGCCTTTGCATCTCCGCTCTTCACCCCAGGGGGGCAGCTGAGCTCCCCACGTGCTGTGTTGCTGCTTTGTCCCAGACACAAACCAGCACGTCGAGGGCCCAGCTCCTCCTTCACCCCGGCATTTCAGCGTCAAGTGCACTTAGCGGGGTGCCCGGCTTCCCCAGCCCCCCACACCCCTCCCGGGTCTCAGGGTGGTCCCAGTTTCTCCTTGGGCGGCCAGAGGTTGGAGTCCCCATCCCCACGGCACACTTTTGTGATCAGGGAGGGTGTCCAAGGTGCCCCCCCCGCCCCTCCCCCCCCTGGCCTGGGCAAGGCCTGATTCCTTCATGATGTCTTGGCAAATGGGGGACAATATTTGGGCTGGGGGCGAACACTAGACCCTGCACCCTGGCCCCGCTTATGGGCAGGTGCACCCTGGAGCCCTCTCACCGGCTCAGGGCCCTGGCGCCACCACCCACCCCTTCCCACCAGCTGCTGCTAGCCCTCTGTGGTCGTGTGTCCCACCTGCCCCCAGCCAGGGGCTGACTCTAAAACCCTTCATCCAATGGTGCTAACCCCCGGCTCTCCCCTGCCCCACCCCCCCCACCCAGAGAAGCACAGACCCCGCTAGGGGCAGGGGCCCACCGCACACCCTTGTCCGCCTTCTCTCAGGCTGGCCTTCCTGGCTCAGCCGGTGAGGCTCAGCAGGGACACAAAAGGGATGGAAGAAAAGAACAAAGAGAAACTGTTCCTCTCACCTCCTTCCCTGATGCCAGGGGCACCGGACTGACTCTGAGGCACAAATAAAAGAGGCTTCAAACCCGAGGCTTTTCCTGGCTGGCTTTACTGGGGGAAGAGCGCCCACCTACGGGTTGGGGGTTCCTTCTGAACCTCAGTGTGGGGAGGGCTCTGAGGTAAAAGAATGCCGGGCGGGTCCTGAGCATGTCAGCACCCCCACAAGCCCGGGGTGGGGTACGGCATTTGCAGAGGCCGGGGGTCTTGGCCCCCTCACCCCCACGCATGCAGGAGGCACAGACCGAGCACTTAGTACAATATTTCATTCAGTGAGTCTTGTTTTCGTCCTAGAGCCAAAGCCACAGCACAGGGCTGGGGGCCGTTGGGGCGGCGGGGCGGGAAGAGGGATATGAACCTGCTTCCATGCCAGTTTTCTGGTTAGTTCTCCGGCGGGGCTGCAGTGAGGAAGCCGCCCTCTCCCCTGCGGGTGAAAAAAAAGGGAGCCAGCCCCCCGCCATAGCCGGCCGGGTGTAACCGGTGGGCTCGGCTCTGCGGCCAACGGGCTGTGTATGTCTGTGGAACTAGGGTGACGGCCAGCCGGTTTACCACTTCAGGCAGCGGAATCAAGTGAGCTGATTAGGGGGACAAGCGTTGTCACTTTCCCCAATCGGTCTGGCGAGACCCGTCGCATCGCCACCCCTTTGAGCTCAAGCCCAAGCTCCCCGACACCCCCAAGAACAGCGCTAATACTAAGCACTTCCCCTGCCCTGGGCGGGAGACAGAAGGGACCCCGCCTCGCCGGGCAGCACCATTGCTGAGGTCCCCGTCACCCCGGGCCTCCCAAGGCCAGCTCCTGCTGAGTCCCGGACGAGGCACGTGGCCAGGCGGGTGCCAGGCAGACGCGAGTCTCCGCGACGCTCCGTTTGTCCAGGCCTCCCGCGAGGGCAAGGAGTTCCCTTCCCAGTCCCGTCCCCGGCCCCAGCCCGGAGAGGCGGGGTCGGGGGCTCCGGACCAAAAGCCGGGGCGGGGCCGAGTCCTGCTCCCCGCCCGGCTTCGCCCCCCGCCCCCCGCCCCAGGCTCGGAGCTGACCCCCGCGCGCCGCACTAGTCCGTGCCGTCCACCAGCTCGCACAGCATGTTCTCCAGGGCCGTGATGCGCTGCTCCTGGGCCTGCACCTGCTCGCGAAGGGCCTTGATCTCCTCCAGCAGCGTCTCCAGAGTGCGCTGCTGCTGGGGCGCGGAGGACAGAAGAGGCTGTGTCAGGAAGGGGGCGGGAGGGGGATGTGTGGACTGGGCCGGGGTGGAGCGGAGCCGGATCTTACCGACAAGGGGGCGTCGCTGGCCGACTGGCTGCGGCGGGGGCCGGCGGGAGGGCGCACGTCCAGAATATTGCGCTTGGTGACCCGGAGCTCGCGGTGCTTGGGAGGCACGTAACCGTCCCTCAGCGAGATGAGCACGGGTTCGGCGTCCTGGCCAGATAGCCACTCGTCCGCTTCTAGGGCCGGCTCGGGGCCGGGAGTATCTGGGTATAGGTCGTCCTGGAACAGGTCTGACTGCGGGGGTTCGGGGGACAGGAAGACTAGTGTTCGCAGAGGGCCGGGCCTGCTCCGTTCCCTTCCGCCTCGGAGCCGTCTCCGCCCAACCCCTCTCCGCGCCCCCTCACCTTGCGGGGCACAGTCATGATGATGGGCTCACATTTTCTTTCGTGCAACTTGTAGAACCTGTAAGGTCGGGAGCGGGGTTCAGCACCCCCGCCGGCTCCCACCCCCTTTTCTGCCTGGGACCAATGGGTTGGAGACCAACATTTGCTGAGCCCCTACCATGCACTGCACTTCAAAACACATTATTGGTCCAACTGGTAAAACATCTCTGATCATTTTACAGATGAGGAAACTGAAGTTTAGAGAATGTTAACGCTGGGGCTGGCACCGAAACAAGCCTGTTTGACACCCCCCCCCACACACACAAAATACCCCCACTCCTTCCCAAAGATCACACGAGGGGAGAAGCCCCTGTGTCTTCCCCGATGGCAAGCGGGGACAGACATGCAAGCGAGAAGGGCGAAGGCTGCTGACCGGGCGATCTCACACTTGCTGACGTCCAGCCCCCGCTTGGGCATGAAACCCATGCCCCTCTGAGGCTCCTTGCTGCTGAACGTGTTCAGGTAATGCACGAAAGGTGGTTCGTCGGTAATCTCAAAGTACCGAATGCTGCTGTCGCCCTGCAAAACCAGTCGGTTCAGAGACGCTCCCAGGCGGGGCCCTCGACATCTCTACCCAGCCCCTGCCCTGCCCTGCCGGCCCCAAGCACCTTGCCGCATAGGTAGACGATGCTGGAGTCGGGATCGTAGAAGGGCAGTAGGACCCCGTTGCTCGTGTCCATCTCCTGCAGTGCCACTGGCTCCTCGAAGTTGTTCTGCCCGAGCACAGGAGGCGTGACCAGCCCTGTCCCGGCCACCGTGCCACTGCTGGATCCCCTGAAGCCCCTTTACACTTCCTACCCGCTGCAAACCCCGTGCGTTCGCAAGGCGGCTCTGGTGAACCGAGCTGCGGGTCCCTCCCAGGGGCCCATCACCCTCAGTGCCCCGCACAAATAGCCCCTGCGCCGCCGCATGCAGTCACCGCAAACCACCCCCAGGGACTCGGCATCACCAGGTGGGGGTGCCGGCGTGGGCTCCTTCAGGCGACGCAGCAAAACTGGGCAGAGGGGTGGGTGTGGGGATGGCGGGCGCTGCAAAGGGGGCAGCAGCCTCCAGCCCAGTCCAGGTGGGCATGCCCTGCGGGGGGGGGGCGCCTGGCCCCTCTCCCGTGATGCCAGTCCCCGGGGCACACACCCCAAGCTTCCAGCTGCGTTACCGGGTCCCACAGGCCCAGCTCTCGCTGGCTCATGCGGGTGAAGCCCGTGGTGAAGATATGACCCTGGCGCGTGAAGACGGCCCGCATGGGCCTCATTCCCTCGTGGGCCGCAAACCTCTCCTGGGGGAGGGGGAGACAGGGAGAGGCGTCACCCAGCTGCCTGCCCTAGGGAGCCTGGAGGGACGAGCAACCAGCTTGCTGACTTTGGCCGGGGAGAGACGGGGGTGGGGGTGGGGGGCGGGGGGTTGGAGACGAAAGAGGGCCTAACTACTCAGCTTCCGGGGGAGGTGGGGGGCCCGGCTGACCCCAGGCCTGGAGAGCGTCCGGGCCCGGAGAGAGCGGGAGGCGCGCGCCTCTCGGCAGGTCCCGAGCCCTGAAGCGCCCTCAGAGGCTGACCCCTAGAGCAGGGGAAGTCGGCCGGCTCCCCGGGGTCGCAGCGAGGCTTCTCCCAGACGGGAGCTCCCCGCTCCGCTTCCGCCTTCTCGGGCAGCGGCCACGGCCTGGGAGGGCGCTCCGGGCTGGGCCAGCGAAGGAGCGAGCGCGCGCGGCCAGCGCGGCCTGGCCTACCGGGTCCCAGAGCGCGACTTGCCGCTCACTCATCCTGCTGAAGCCGGTGCTGAGCAGCTTCCCGTCCGCAGTGAAGACGGCCCGCAGCGGGCGGGCGCCCTCGTGAGGCCGGGCTCGCTCCTGCTCGCGGGGTTAGTGGGTTAGAGCGCCCGCCGCGCGCACTCGGCGCAGACATGCACGTGCCCCGCGCCCCCGCCCCCCGCGTCCGAGTCAGGCTGCCGAGGCGGGTGCCGCCGCCCTCCCGGGGCACCGAGCTGGGGCTAACAAGGCGCGGGGGTGGCCCCCTCTCCCCCCGCCTTCGCCCAGCGGGTCGACTCGGGCGGAAAGGGGCCTGCCGGAGAGCCAGTGTCGGGCCCCAGACCCTGGAAGATGGCGCTGGGTGCCGGCCGAGAGGAGAGGGGTCCGGGATGTGTCATGCAGGTTCTGGTGGAAGGACAGAGCTTGCAGCGTCTCCCCTGCTCAATTACAACTCGAAGAGCACTGCTCGGAGCTTCTCAGATGCCGGGGAACGGAGGGAACCGGCGTGGGGCAGAAGACTGTGGGCTGTGGGCTTAATTAGGGCTGGGAGCCGTGGCTGCAGACACTGGGGTGGGGGGGGGCGGGACTGCCTCGGGTTGGGGTGGGGGGAGGCGAGAGCCGGCACTAGGGACTCAGAGGATTAAGGGCACAGGGGCCTGACAGTTGGTCCCGAGGGTAGGGGCTGGGGGATGGCCAAGCCAGGCACTCACCGCCACCACCTGGCCCTTGCGGGGGTCGATAATGCGCAGGTTCTTGTCCTTGCAGGTGGTGGCTAGCAGGCTACCATTGCTGTTCCAACACACGCTGTGGATGACGTCCGGGTGCATGTCGTCTAGACTCAGGAGCACCTCCCCAGTGCCCACATTCCAGATGAGGATCACATTGTCACCACCTGCCCGGAGCAGCCCGTCACGTTACTTGGGTCCTGCCTTTGCCCCCACCCCCCACCCGGCCCCATCTACAGGAGGGACCCCTCCCTAGGCCCCCAGACCTGCACTGAGCAGGACATTCCGGGCAGTGGGGTGCCAGCAGAGGATGCCCACACGTTTGGAGTGGCCCTCAAGTGTCAGGATGGGTTCCGTAATGTTGCGCATAGGGGTGTAGTCTGGAATCTGCCACACCTGGGAGGGAAGAAAAGGCATAGGGTGAGTGCGATGAGGAGCCTGCTTTGTCCCTCTACTCCTCCCCAACTTTGCCCCCCACCCCCACCCCCACCCCTACTGGCTCTCTTGAGTGGTAAGGGTCAAATGCAGGGCAGGATGTAATGATGCCTGCCCAGGGCAGAAGCAGCTGGGAGCCAGGAGGGGGCACTGCCGGCTCTCCAGGGACCTCTCTAGACACCCCAGCTGGGAGACTGCAGAGTACTGCCCCTTGCTCTTCAGGCCTCAAGTTGGCCATGGCTATAATTAGTCCTAAGAAGTGCATCCTGGGAGGGGGTGGGCATGTGGCTAAATATAGCCCGGGAGCTGGGCAGGGCAGGGCAGGGCCCTTGGACCCAGCACCTCTTTTACCACCTTCCCTAGCGCAGGTGAGGCAGCCTTCCCCCCTCCCCCTGCCCAGCTGCCCCACAGCGTCCACCTGGTTCCTACCATGACCGTGGTGTCGTCTGAGGCACTGGCAATGACGTTGTCATTGTGTGGGCACCAGTCGA